TTTGGTTATTAACGAACGGTTACAACTTCTATAAATTAAAAAATAAATGTTTTCTTCTTACTTTTACTTTTAATTTAGTTTTTTTTTTTAAAAGTTAAATGTTCACATGCAATGTTTATATATATATATATATATATACTCTCCTAACAATTTTTTATTTCCTTAGTTTAATCAATACTTCTTCAGTATTTTATTTAGCTTTATTATATTGTTTCAATCTCGCGTTTCTTCCTTGCCTAACACTGTTAACGTGTATTTTGTTTCCTTTCAGAACGTCCTATATCATTCTGGTTTGAAAAAGAAAGTTTGCTCGAAACGTCGCCAAGAAAATGATAAATAAGAATAAACATTTTTAGGGTGATTTATCTCCGAAAGTCAAATTTCTTTATTTTATAGCCTTCGCATTTGTTGTTCTATCATTACAAATAAACACACACATACATGCTAATTATAACTGTTACCAATTGTTCACTTAAGTCGAGCACCTGAAAAACGTACCTCAAGCTTCAACGTTATGTTATATTAAGATAATACAGAAAATCGCAATAGTTCGTATTTTTTCATAACCCTGTAAAAATCAGAACTACACACAAGCATGTTAGGATCAGTACTTATAAATAACACATATGTTAGGATCAGTACTTATAAATAACACATATGTTAGGATCAGTACTTATAAATAACTCGTATATTAGGATCAGTACTTATAAATAACTGATATATTAGGATCAGTACTTATAACTTAATTAATTACTTACTTAATTCACATATTAGGATCAGTACTTATAAATAACTCGTATATTAGGATCAGTACTTATAAATAACTCGTATATTAGGATCAGTACTTATAAATAACTCGTATATTAGGATCAGTACTTATAAATAACTCGTATATTAGGATCAGTACTTATAAATAACTCGTATATTAGGATCAGTACTTATAAATAACTCATTAGGTCTTCAAGACCTTGCTTACTGATTGATCTGCTGTCCTCTTGCCGTAGATAAAATACTCGTGTTTTAGGTTATCTTCGGAAGGAATGGCCCGCTTCCGCACGGAGACGTTGCTGAGCCCGCCTCCGCCCATTGGCACCCAGCCTCCGGAGGAATCGTCCCGGGTCATTACCTGGGCGCGGACCCGCACCAGGTAGTTCCCACTAAAGAGGGAGAGAAAAAAAAAGGTAAGTTGGCATGGCATTATTTACCAATGTATCTTCTGACAGAGTACTGATGCATTAGCTGCCTTATAACGTCACAGTTTCTGCATTTAAGTTTGCAAATGGACAGCTATTTTTTGTCCATTTGCAAACTTAAATGCAGAAACTTAAAATTTTAAACATAACTAATTGTAAAGAATGCATTGTTGATCTTTCTACAGAACCCCCCCCCCCCAAAAAAAAAAGAGTGCGGGTCTTGTGCGCAGTGTTCTCTTCCGGCCCTATATAATGAAATGGAAATTTCAAGAAGTATTATTCTGATACTTGTGATATTCTTAAAAGTATCAGAATAATACTTCTTGAAATTTCCATTTCATTATATAGGGCCGGAAGAGAACACTGCGCACAAGACCCGCACTCTTTTTTTTTTTGGGGGGGGGGGGGTTCTGTAGAAAGATCAACAATGCATTCTTTACAATTAGTTATGTTTAAAAATTATTTCAACACTAGCAGGTGCCCGTTGAAACAATTCAAAGGTAATTTCCTGAAAATAGTGATGATTAAATAATAGTACTAATAATAAAACGTGCAGTCAACTCAATGCCTTGGATAATAACGTATATGCAATATGATTGTCTAGTTGGCCATTTACAACTGTCTTTTGTCATTCTGTGTTATTTGAATAAGAAAAATTGCATTGCGTTTGTTTTTATGCAAAGGAGACCGATTACATTATCACTGTTGCGTTGACAAAACTGTTTGGGTTTCGATGCAATAGGTGCATCCAGCACAATAGAGCGCTCAGGTTCGCTAAGTAGCCGCGGGTATTTTTCCGCTGGTTGTTACCGTTGCTTGACATTTAACTGACCACAAGAAAAGACCGTTATCGAAGTGAACGCATTTGGCCAGTTGTCATTTCTATAATAAGTGTCACAGGAGAAATATTCAATTCAAGTCAATCTCTTCGATATGGTACAATAAAGTCATGCATATATATAATACCAACATGGAAATACATATATATATATATATCATAGAGACAGTAGACTATATGTAGGAATGACCAAGGTACTCAATAGGCATGATACAAATATACACTCTAAAAACCAACAATGACAGAGAGTTTGACTTAAAAAATGATTCCACTCACTTTCATCTGTTTCTCTATTCAACAAGCACCAAACAAGGCAAGAAACCATCGCTAAGATACCAAACCAGAAAGTGACCAACCCACCAAATTGTTCACCAAAACAAGGCAAAAAACCATAGCAAAGGTACCAAACCAGAAAGTGACCAACCCACCAAATTGTTCACCTTTCTTCTTCTTGTTTTGGTCGAGATAACTCTACAACTACTTTATCACGAACGTTATTTTAAACTTAAATCCACTATATGTGTTTCTGGGCAAAGCGTGATGTCATCGCTTAGTCGTAATAGCTAGTAGTAATAAAAACAAATATAATAGCAGTGTACACGATGTTATCATTTCCCCTTGAAGTTAGCAAATTTACAGAAATCTGACGTTCCTTTAAAATGCTTTGTACACTATACAATAGGTGTCTTTAGGGAGCCAACCCCTATATTATGTATGAAATGAAGGAGTAAAAAAAAATCGATACACATAGTATTACGTTTTATTACATGCATTCATAGACTAAACTAACTTTCAGTCAGTGGAAAAAATGTCACAAAACAAATAATAAAACATTTTGTAAATGTAAAATGATGCAGAGATTAAATTTTAATATTGAAAGTAATTTAGGGATGAGCTATGTATAGCTGTATAATCTCTATATTCTTATTTGCATTCATTTTGTCACTGCCATTCATACATTATTTTACATTTACAAAATGTTTTTATTACTTGTATAAACACCGAACAACAAGAGATATATATACTCAAACACGTTCCTCTCTTTAAGCGATTTTCAGTTCAGGTTCCTATCTTCGAAATACTTATTTCGATCAGTCGACGGAGAAAGTCCCGTTTTTTTTTTTTTCGTGAAAGCCCCTCACAAAAAGAAAGATTTTTGCTCTTATTAAGTTTTGTTTTCTCAGATTGACCGTTCAACACATACGAAGGCTAATGGATCGATATTTATACCGATACGAAATTTTGGGAATAGCAAAAAATTAATAATTTTCCTTTAACGTACTCTTGAAAATATGCATTTTGATATGCATATATATAGACATACATATTTTCTACGATTAGCCATTCAGGAGATATAAAGCGTGACAGAGATATTTTGCTACTATATATATATATATATATATATATATATAAAGCCAAGTGTTGGTCGATCACGCTCGATTTCTCCGAATTTCGTTTTTCTTCTATAATACTTCCTCTTTTGATTGCCTGTTCCCATTTTAGTTGAATTTAATCGCTATCATATGCGTAAATAGTTCCTAAATTTCGGCATTTTTTTTCTGCTATATAAAAGTCTGTCAATAAGAGAGTTCCCAGGACTACATCAAGCATGGCGTTATGTATGTGACACCGCATCATTATGACGTCAAGCTAGGTAGGATTCGAATAGGAAAGTCGGAAAGACTCCTGTGAAAAATAAGTCAAAAATTAGCGCAAATCTATACTTGGGAATTATTACGAAAAAGCCTTTTTTAAAACAGACTGAAGATACCAATTATCTGTAGGGAAGGGGACGACTTTTGTTCAGAAGAAGAACAGGCGTGTATGCATTCACACGGTCATCATATGTTTCAATATTTTATCCAAACGTACCAATATGTAGCATGTTTACAGTCTTTAGGTAAAGTAGATATTGCTCGTGATAGGCTTTGGTTTCCCGAAGCTAGAATGCTCTTTATTTTTCTTATGTCTGTTTACGGGCGGCAGTATTGCAAATGTATATTGGAGGATTAAAATTTGGTAGGCTTTGGTTTCCCATCATTTTTGACGGGCTTTTATACTAGTATATTAGTAAACAAAAGGAAAGCAACTAAGTTAATATTAATAAAATGAATAACCAATGAACAAGTAAACAAGTTGTTGAAACTTACACCCAAACAGACGCATGTAATCAAATTAAAGTCACGAAATGACTAATTTTGAAGCCAGTAACATTCCCAACTGTGCAATGCGTGTTTCGTACATTTCTGCCTAAATATAAAACAAAAAATCCAACATAGCTTCTACATCGTATTTATCTCTTTGCCACTGGTTTGCCGCTCTATATTTTGACCTATTATGCTTTGAAGGAGCGTAATGACATAAAAATTTGTAGTGTTACAAACGAATTAATAAGAATTTTGCGTACGCGCCACATACTCTTACACAATATTTGTTTATATCTCTTACTAAAGAAAAATGTTGACAATAATAAAGGCCACGCCATTAATCAGTTCTTCGCTTCAACATCGTAGTTACGAATATAATGGGAACTTTCAGATAAACAAAGACAAAAATTTATATCTAAATAACCGTCTTAATTTTACTTTATTTTTATATCAACATATATCGCGACTTCAACAGTTTCTATAACTACCTAATTCACCAATCACAGAAGGCGTTTTTTAAGATGACAAAATAATGTAAATAAAATATTTACATTAATTATTTATAAGAAATGAGCAAAAACCACCAATTTTTGAGAAGGTGACAAAACTATGACAATTTCAGTTTGCTAATCTTAACTTCAACCATTCTTGAAACCACATAAACAGACACACACACACACACATACAAATACTGAATGTTTTTGCTTTTTTTCACGTTACAAGAATAAACTTAAATAAAGCGAATTTTTATGTAATTCAACCAACCAACATTCCTTCTTATAGCTTTGGGTTTTATCTCTGCTGAAATAAAAAAAACCTTTTAAATCATTACACAATATTTTCCAAAATACGAGACTAACGGTTACGTTAGATTACTGGCACAGAAGTAACATATTTAGTCCCCTCCCAAGGTTTTCTTTTTTTTTCCTTCAAAAACGTTTCACATAAATTCAAACATCTACCCCATGTGCCAAGAATATCTCCCGCTCAGGATGGGACAAGGTTTAAAGCACACTGCTCCCCGTTCCAGAGTTCATGCTTGCATTGGTATTTTAAGAAGGTTTTGCCATGAAATGATTTTATATCACAGCCAAGAGCGAACGTTGACTAGCATTGTAATATTATGTCAGAACTATATTTAATACCTATGACAAGTATTCAGTGATATTTCAAAATCGAAGGAATAGCTTCACATTGGGGGAAGAGAAGCAGTGTTTATTTCTTAAAAAAATAAATAGTTTGCGAAACTGTGTACTGTTAAAATGTATGTAAAGTTACTTACTGACAGCAGTGTACTGTAGCATCATATAACTTAAACATTCATCCTGGAAAGGTTACATTATACGACTTTCCAACTTTTATTTGTCAATGGCTAGTCGAAAACAATCGTACTTACTAACTACCAAGTTTCACGTGTATTCTAGGCTTAGGTTTACAGGTAATAATTATAACTGAAACATTTTGTCTACTATCGTACTTCAAACTAACTATTGTGCAACACATTAATAGTTAGAGCAAATCATTAAATGTTTAACTACGTTTCAGGCCAACGACTACCATAACATACTGGCGTTCACTAATAATCCTAAAATGTATAAATAGGTATAAGCCTAACGACAGACCTTCACCGTCTGTTAAGTACTACCACGTAAGCTCAGCGAGAGATCATTCTTTAAAACACACACCACACGCACTATTTAGATTGAAGTTACGGTAATTCACGAGACAAAGGAGTAAGGAAAACCATGACAAGTTACTTTGTAAATTGTAGGCTTAAGTAAGATTCTTAAAAATGTAGTGGACAGAATACACTACCAAAAGTAACATAGAATGCCTTCCTTATCAAATAATCACTTGCAGTATCTTATAGAAAGAAATAATGAAGTGTTCGAAGGGAAAAAGTTTGATAATAAATATGGTTACGACACTGCTGACGAACAACATTATTTATTTAAAAAAGGGACGCAAGTAAACGTTTC